TTAATTTTTCCTAAATCTTAATCTAATATATGAAAGGTAAATGATATTTCAATAAGATAAAACTATTAATAAAGATAATGCTAAGTACTACAAATATTATAGCAGAGATATATGATATATCCATAAGCGAATACCTATATTCAAGGATGCGCTCTACCGAAGTCATCTGATTTTCCAACTCGGCACTCTGGCGCATGCCCCATTGGAACATACCGGTGAGACCGATACTTTGTGTAATCGCCAGGCCTACGAATCCGCCGTCCATTGAACCTCGACTGTAATTGTCTAACACGAGAAAGCTCAGTGTGACTAACATAATATACAGCACGCAGAAAACATCCAGCCAGAAACCGAAAGCACGCGAAGACGCGATGAAAATATACCACGCGGACGAATGGAGATCCTGGTGATTATCAAACTCCTTCGTGAGGATAGCTTCCGCTCCAAACGCGCGGATCGTCGGTAATCCTTGAAGAGTTGCGCTCAGATGAGCGAAAACCGGCGAGCGGGCTGAGAAAAATTAGAAATTTTTATATTATTTACTATTCAGTTTATTGAAGAATTTAAATCTATCATCAATTCAATGAGCTTAATAATTAATTAAATTCAATCTGCAATCTTATTCTATCGAGGAAACCACACTATTCCACCGAAAGACAAGATACTCACTAATGCCTTCAAGACGCTTCACACTGCGACTGGTAGCCAAGTAGAAGATTCTCAAGTAATAAAAGACAATGCCGACTAACGCTGTGGGTATCAACAGCCACGTGTTCGCGATAGCTACCACGACGATGATGCCCAACAGCGCTAATCCGATCTGAAGACAATCGATAAGCGCAGTTGGAAGCATTTCGTCAACAGCTCCTACATCCTTCGAGAAACGATTGAGCACACGTCCCGATGTATTGGTGTTGAAGAATCGCATAGTGGCGCGACTGATGCTGCGGAACATACGATCGTGCAAACGCATTGAGGCCCGCATACACGTCCAGAAGAAAGCCCATGAGCGAATCAGAGTAATACAGATTGTGAGCACAGTTAGGCCGCTGAAAATGTAGATACACTGCATGCGACTGAGGGGACTTCTCGGATCTTCCACAACACTGTCATCCGTTTGATTCATCTATAATGTTATACAATTAATGAAACATAATTAAATGAAGATATGATTGTAATTAAGATTGTAATTTTCTTTCCGATTTGACATAAAATTCATGTTTCTATTTAACTCTTTTATGGAGATCACTTTCATGAGATCTCTCATTTATTTTAAAGTATCGAACTTCTACTTGAATTCTGAAATTGAATTATAGAATTTGAATATCTTTTAAACAATAATTGTTTCTTATTTCAATTTTTTATTTAAGTCAAGACACATTTTTAAGAACAATTTTGAGTAAAGTTGAGATTGAGAGATGTAATAACTACATAATAAGTGTATTTCTATTATAATAATAATAAGCATGTATTTGCTTCATATATGTACATAAAAAATGTACTAATTTTGAAATTAAAATAAAAATATACTTTTAGATTTCTCGAGTTTCTCTAGCATGATTACATCTGAATTAAAAGATTATTTTAGCATAGTGAAGCACTTACATAATGTTCCTCTATATTAACCCATTGCGCGAGAAAAAAGTCACCGCCGCTAGCCGCTAATTGTGTCAATATACAAAGCATAGTCACTATGGATATAATGCACCAATTCCCGCCAGCGCGTAAGTAACTCGTATATACTTCGCCAGAAACAGTGCCTACAGTTCGCATTTCAGCCACCTAAAATTAACAATTAATACGTTATTAATTAATTGTTAAAATCTAAAGTTATTTTAATAATAAAAATGTAAGATGTTTGGGTTTTTTTTAGATACATGCGTACTTATAAATAAAAATGACATGAAACTTGTTATTTAATTGTTAATTCTCAATAGTGATGTTTTTTCTAATATGTTAAAATTTAGCTTATAGGAAAGATAAAATATCTAAACTAATATTTTGCTATAACTTAAAACATGCTTTTGCAACTATCTTAAATTACAATATTAGTTTAATAAGATTTATATTATTATTTCAGAAAATAAGTTAGAAAATATGTCCTAATTACTTCGTCAGGTTCCTGTTTCGAAGTATCATTCGTCATAAAAGAACTTAATGACGAGATGCTAGCAGCGCGCGAATTACTACGACTAACGGGAGCCGAAGGGGGATGAGAAGATTTCTCATCCGTTTTTGTTTGATTTTCCAACAATCGACCGAAGTCCACTCCCATAGATCCCAGCTCATCATAAGTGCTGATAAACAGAAAATAAAACTCATACAAAACAATAGAAAGAAAATGAATTTAAATATTAACTTAAACTTGCGAGCAAATTGTCTGAAAATAATAGAAGATTTGTGTTGACTCGACCACAGGGCATTGAACGTTTCGTGTCAATATTGATATTTATGTTGTTGAAAGATAATGATTCTTGATACGTTAATGGATGATTAAAGTAAGGACTTAAAATAGAATTATTTTACCGTATAATCAGGAAGATAAGCCAAAGTGATCAAATCTATTGTTCTCGAAAGTAAAATCGAGTCATACATGTTGTGATATAATGATAAAAAAACTCTTAAGATAATTTTTTCTCTTCTAGTCTATTATATTCTTAATCCCACATTCTCGTTCTCAAAAAGCCAAAGATCACAAAGTTAAGAACTTATTTATAAATAAACGGCGCAAAATATGTATGTATTCTCAACGTCATTGTAATCTTATTTCAACAAAGAAATTGTAACAAGATTACAATAACAAATTTAAAAGATAGAAAGTGAAATAAAATCATTCATACCCTTCAGCCTGAATAATTCCGTCCTTTAGAACGATAATTCTACCGACGTCGCGAAGATATTGCAATTGATGAGTGACGAGAATCCGAGTCTTGCCTCGTAAGTATTTATCGACGCATTCATCAAACATGTGTTTGCCTACATGGGCATCCACGGCGCTCAAAGGATCATCCATAAGATATATGTCGGCATCAGCGTAAACGGCTCTCGCTAAATTTATTCTGTCAATTATTGGCATCTCATCAATATGACTAATATGTCTTTCATAACTATATATATAATGCAAATTCTTTAAAAAAAAATACTTCATAAAATTAATTTTATTTGAACGAAAGTTAATAAAATTAAATATATCAATTTAATTTAAATTAATTAAAAATTGTATTAATTATATTAAAATAAAATTATAAAACAATATACGCGCTTATCAAAATTCTTATTCTATATATCAAATGTAAAAAAAGTAAACATAAATTTTTGAATATTCATTGAGTTGATATGAAAATTTACTTCAGAGATTAAATATATACGCAAAAAATATTTACTATAATCACAAGATAATAATTACAAAAAATTAATTAAATTAACAAGTAAAGATAAAATGTTACTTATCAATAAAAAAAAACCAATAAAAATCATGTAAAAAATATTATTAAAAAATTGGAAAAGAATCTCTGAGATTATGAATCAAAATTCAGAATATAAATATATCCTGCATATTTTATCTTATCAGGATATTCTGTAAAACCAACCTTGCACGCTGACCACCGGAAAGACTGATACCCCTCTCGCCTACAATCGTTTTATCACCATACGGCAGCAGGCTGAAATCCCTCTTTAACTGACACACTTTAGTCACGCGATCATATCGAACCTGATCCATCTTTCTTCCGAATAGAATATTTTGTCTTACTGAACCTGCAAAAAGCCACGGTTCTTGACTGGCATAGGCAATCTTTCCATTAACCTGTAAAAAAGTATTTAAAAGAATAATTATATGTTTAAAATATTTATTAATTAATAGTTTGATTAATTAAAAATATGTATGAATATTTTAATAAATTGGTAAAATAATTTATTTTTATAGATAAAATTGTTTATTCCATATTTATCTATTTAAATTTCTTAAAGAGAAATTGCCAACATACTTGAATGGAACCTTCTTGTAAACGCAGTTCTTTCAGGATGACGTTCAATAAACTGCTCTTGCCCGCGCCGACCTGGCCGACGACAGCAATCAGTTCGCCGGGACGTACCTTAATGTTGATACCCTGTAAGGTGTCTTCTCGTTCATAATCCAGCCACTTAGTGGTGCCGTTCTCGATGCAGATGCTGTGCTCGTCATAGCTCGGCTGGCATACGATCGTGTCGTCGTTCTCCTTCTGCTCAATCAGATTCTCCTTCGCGTTGTTTTGGTTATTCTCCATCGTACTTTTGTTATTCTCTTTTACATCTTTTCTATTATTCTCCATCGCAGTTTTGTTATTCTCTTTTACATCTTTTTCGTTATTCTCTTTTACATCTTTTTCGTTACTCTCTTTTACATCTTTTTCGTTATTCTCTTTTACATCTTTTTCGTTATTCTCCGTGTTGTTCTTCTTTGTTTTAATCTCAGACGGTGTTAGTTCTTCATACATTAAGAACTTCTGCAGACGTCTTATGGATACCATCGCTTCCGCTACTTGTGTTATCCCTGAGTGTTATGCCATAAAGACAAAATAGATAAATAAACGGGAATAAGAACATAGGATAAATCTCGTAGTTAATGGATGTAATTATTAAATAGGATTCTAATTTATAGTATAAAGATGATAAAGTACTTTAGTATAAAATCATTATAATCAGAAAAAGGTGATAAAGTACTTTAGTATAAAATCATTATAATCAGAAAAAATACGAAGAGAAGATTAAAAGGAAAAAAGGAAAAGAAATAAAGATAAAAAGAGGGAAAAATAGAAAGAAACAAAAAGAAGAAAAAATAAAAGATAAAGGAAAAATGAACAAATTAGCAAAGAAACGCTGCAAGCGTCACGCTGTCGATATCTATCATTCGTATATTTAATATATACATATCAACAATTATATACCTTGCGGGAAGAAAACAGTCATAGTTGTGCGTAAGCTATTGTAATAGGCGGTTATCACGAACACCTTTTCGGCAGTTATTTTGTAGCCGAACAGTACATAAGCCAGCACCGTAATGAACAATGACATCCTCGTTGAAAAGATGATAAACGATAAAGTAACACCCCTGATATACGATGTCCATCGGATGACATTAACTTCCTTTCTGTAAACAAATTCCGTATTTGTTAATCTTTTTTTCTTTTTTTCCGAACTGTGTTCATGTTTTCTGAATCAAAAACGCAAATAAACATCAGGAATTCGTAATTTAACATCGAAAATATATAAAAAAAAAAGAGGTCTTTCAAATTTTAAAATTATAAATAAATAATATATTGTTTTTAGATCATTCAAGTTTAATTGAAATAGTTCAATAGAATACCTTAATGTAATACTTCATAATTATAAAATATTTATTAATATAAATGTGATAACACGAATCGATATTTGTGACATTCGATACTGAGTACATATATCATTAATTTTATTCTATTCCTATTGATTAATCATGATAAATCTTAAAAATTATATATAAATTAAGCATATTCCCAAAAATAGATACGCGGTTGTTTAAAAAATAATACTAATTTTTAAAATTTATGTTGGAAAAGTAACATATTATCAAATTTTACGTTAAACTCAACGAAAATGTCGTACAAACATTTGATCTTATGGAGACTAAGCCTTATCTCGTGCAC